AGAGCAGGCTTCAAAGTTTGTCATTGATTTCCGTTGCTTACTAAAAAAGATACTGAAGGAGGTACTACTTGTGCACTGAAGTTAAGTTTCTGCCCCATCTCCTGCTTATCCATACTGTCCTTTACTTTACATTTACTTTAGGTTCCTGGGTGGATTCCAACATACCCTTCTCTCAGCTAATGCTTAGCTACTAAGCAGAATGAACAAAGCAGAAAACAAACCAAAAACCTGCTACAGTGTACTTATGCAAAAGTGGAATTTTTTTCCAGTTATTAGCAGAGCCTGATAAAGCAATGGGCAAGGTCTAGAGCTTCCTGGCTACTGTAACCTCTGAAGTGTAGCTGCTTTACCTGAGTAGGAAGTTAAAATAGCCTAAGCTAGCCTTCCTGCTCAGTGACAGGGAGACCTCAGGTGCCTTGTGTTGGAGCGAGCCATAATGCCACTCTGCTGAATAGGGAGCTGTTTAGGGCTAGCGCGTTGGGAACGCAAGGCTGTATGTGAAGTACTTCATCCAGAGCCCTGAAATCCCGTTGTGGGTATGTGAGCCAACTTAATCATTCAGGCTGGGGAAGCAGAAGTGGGGCTTTGTCCCTGGGGAGTTGCAGCTCCATACCTGGGTACGCATGCCCCATACCTGGGTAAAGCACAGAGCGCTCACAGCATCTCTGCCCAACTGGCTCCTATGTTCCTGCCTTGTGGCGCCGCACCACCAAGAGGCACGGGTTGCATGCCTTGCCGAGCACCTCCTTGCCAGAGGATTTCTCCCAGGTTGTGAGTGTTGTAGGGAGGGAAGGATCCTTTCCCTGTCAGAAATTCAGGGCCAGGTCCACTGAGCTATTCTGCAAAAGGCAGGTGTAGTCACCATCCATAACTTAAGCAGTGGTCCCACCTGGCTCAGCCCTAGCTTACTTGAAGGAAGGGGTAGAGGACTGTAGATCCCAATTTTATAGATGCACCTGTTTCACGGTTTCAGTTTCAGAGGCTCCCCTCTTTCTGATGATACCTCTTTGCTTGTGTAGGCAACTATTAGCTTGGCAAGCTGGCTGGTACAAACACCATTCTGGGATGCCTGACTCTGTATTAGTATCTTAAACGCTTAATGCAGGTTTGATCCTTAATGTTCAGGCATGGCAGCATTCAGTCTGACACCTGAAGTCCGTTTAGGGTCTGACTCCTGGAGTATGGCCTCCTGGGGCATTTCTGGCTCCTTGGCCTTCAGAGCACTGAGTTTCCTTTTAAGAGTGGGCACCTAAAACACAGCCGCTCGGGGAGGAATAAGGATGCTTCCATATTTTGAACAGTTTCCTAACAATTAGAGCTCTTGCCAGAAATGAGTGGTTTCTTCCTCAGTCCCATTCCAGGAGAATGCCTTGACCACCACAATCCAGGATGATTGCAGGAAGAGGGGCTGTGGGAAGGAAGAAAAGCAGGTGCTCTCCACCTTACCTTTGAAGCTATAATAGAACAAGAACCAACAAGAGGAAGCCTGGCCACAGCATTGTGGAGGTCAGATTATTTACCTGTTCTGGCTACTTGAATTTTAACACACAAATCGTCTGGAGAGCAAAGGCCAGCGTCGCCAGTCTGTCCTCACCTTTGGAGTGTGCAGGAGGGCTTTCTCCTGCCTGCTCACCATCTGACTTCATGCCTTTTTCATTCCTGGCCTGCTTCCACCCCCAAAGCTGCAACTCGGACGGTTGGAATCAGTGTGGTTGGAAGTCTCTTAAGACATTTCTCCTTGGCTAGGCTTCCCATGCCAGCTTTCAACGTTCCTGCTGCGTTTGTCTCAGCTGCGTTCAAAAGGAGTTGTTACTAGTTGCACCAGGGTAAGAAAGAGAGGGAAAGAAGCCTGTAGCCTTTCTCTAGTCTGCGAAATTCCATCCTACAGGGAGAAGGTATCATACAGCGCTGTGAAGTGTTAGAAATGGGGAGCTGCACTAGAAACAACCTTCCCCTCTTCATTAGTGCATAGGGGTTATTGTGCCCACTCTTGCTGCAGAGTAATGGGTGCATGCCCAGAATCAGAAGATAGTTGTTTTCTCGTTGAGAGTATTGATCCTTTATTAGTCTATTGAGATTATTTTCCTGGCATGAAAACAATACGTATCATATGGTTTTGGTTGCACGTACATTAAGCAGTATCGTAGTCCACAAAAGGAGCTCCTTCCACTTCTGGCAAGCGTGATTGAATATGTAGACCTTACAGTATGCTTTGAAATTTAAAAAGGGCTTTCTTGGAAAGCAGAGAAAGAAGAGCACACCTGTCTTAGAGAAGGCTGCGCTATTGTCGTTTTTTTAGTGTTAAGAATCTAATATGTCTAACAAGACTAGTCAAGCAAGTTCTATCATTTCCAGAC